ACATACATACATATATATATTATATATATACATAATGCACATACATATATACATATATATATATATATACATATGGTCAGATATGAACATCATGATGTGGGATTGGGTGGAAAACCCTGCTCAGGGACTCGGTGTGCTGCCGAGTCCACGGCTGTGGAAAGCGAAGCAGAACGCAACCCATAACGCCTGGAGATGAACAAACAACCCATAACACCTGCAACCCATCACCTTGAAACACAATAAGTCAATCAGCACCTTTGATAGCCTTTGAGATCTCCCAGGTCTTTGGCGGTTCGTGGCCAGGACAGCACAGTGGCGTTACATGTCTTTGGTGTTGAGTGACTTGTGAGAGGGCACACCCTCCACAATGGTGCTATGGCATAGTGTAAACCCACTCCCTGAAGTAAACCATGTGAACACACGCCAAATGCCCAGAGTGTACACACAGGTGTGCATCTATATGAGACATAGATCTATATATTTGTTATACGCACAATGGCACCAAGGGTGGTATTGGCTTGTAGAGCTGGCATGCCTGTGTTGTTTGGATATGTTGTTTGATCGTTTGGGCTCACTCGAGGGAGCCTGTCCGATGCACAAAGTTGTGGAAACGAATCGCCGCGTGCAGCGTGGAGCAGCGCCCGCGTGGAGAATCGCCGCGGTGAGGATCAGAGGGTTTTTCGCGGCGCGTTCGGGATCCGCACAGATGTTCTTCCAATCTATTGTGCAATGTTCGGCCAGTGCGAAAATAAGGGAGATACATGTACAATCTATGATATGGCAGGCGATGTTTTTTTCCATTGCAAGCATTCCAAGGGGCTCAGAGCACTCCTATCTCCCCCAGAGACAGCTCCTTTTCAGTCCTTCATCGTCTCTCAGAGCACCCGTCGGTCCACCGACCGGTGGCGAACGGTGGCGAGGACCCAGGGTGGTTTCGCCCCTGGAGTCGACCACCTTCTACCCGACCTTTGTGCGAAGTGGCCCGACGGCTCAGATGGGACGCAGCGCCGACGGTGAGGTTGGAAGAGCAATTTTTTCGCAGCGCAGCGTGTTGGACGGGAAGAGTCAGATCTGGACATCGGTCGGATGAGTGATGATGAGTGTAACAACATAACCCCCCCTGGCCATAAAGAGCATGAAAGGTAGCTACGACTGGCTGTAGTGGCCTGCCCGATTTTCTACGGGTCAACAGCCTTCCTTGGTCCGCTTGTCGTGCATTGTCATCCCACACCCGTGGTGTATTTTTGGTTTTATTAATGGCTGTCCCAGCACCCGATATCTTAGGCTTTGTGGCTATGTATCTTTGATTTTGCTGATCTCCACAGCCACCCCCTTTTGGAAGTGCCAAGGGTGCCCCAAGGGGGCACAAGGACACATGCCATGAATGATTCAATTGCGATGTCTTGCTGAAATGCGAGCATGCGCAACCAGCAAGTGCCTTTTTGATAGTCTCAAGGACCTTGGAGGCCCTGCTTGATTTTTGCAACACCAGTGTTCGATCGAAGCCTTTGTTCGATCAGCTTATTTATGGACATCGAGATCCTTTGTCCTGTTGTTCTTGCAATGTCCGCCTGCATGCGCGCTCCAGGTTCTATTCTCCGCGGCGGCGGCAGGCCGTTAGAGGAGCGGCATCTCATGAGAATGTGCTGCTCATTGATCACCAGATCATTTTCATGCGGGTGATCCAGGAAAGATTAATGATTCTTGGGTGGCCCAGCACCTCTCCAGCACCTCCCGGCACCTCTCCAGCAGCTCCCACATGGTCCCTACCCTACACAAGGAAGGAGAAATTGACTTTCATTGATTCATTGATTTCACGGGTGTCTGACAAAAAAGACGCATGAATGCGTCAACAACAGATAATATTTTTGTTTGTTTAGGTTGGTCCAATTTGGCTTTTGCATATGTACCGTGCACCCATAGACATGGTTCGTCAAGCTGTTGAACGTGCGGTCTTCAGATATCTTCACCTGGGATACAGTCTTAAAAACTATTTACATATCAGCTCATCCAGTTGCGAGGCGCCAGAGGATGCAGTTCCCGCCATTGCTGCCGTTCCGGCATCAAAGGCAGCGAAATTGAGAAGAGAAGTGTTGCTTTGAAGGGTGGGACGTATAGTGGTTTCAGAATAGATGGCACAATCAATCGGCGGTTTATATGGACCCATCTAAAACTGAGTTGCATTTAACCCATTCAATAGTTCATAATTGCTGACCTAACACCTCAATAGTTCCATCCACCTCCTCCCCATCAGCAACAGTGGTCGCTGCTGCTGCCGCTGCCACCATCCAGCGCCACCTGCGTGGCATGTCTTGGGATGGGGATGACTGGGGTGTCCAAAGCCCACCTGCGTTAAAAGCTGGAATGCCCTGGCTCCCCCAAACTCAGGTGCATGTCATGGAACCTCCCAAGTAAGGATCAGACCAGATCAGGCATGATGAGACCCTTGTATCTTGACTGTCCTCAGGCATGCCCTCAGACCCTCAGTCCTTCTGGTATAGATGGTCTTTCTTGCGAACCTTTTTTGTACGCTAAGTGCCCTGTCAAAGGCCGTGAGCCGTGCACAGTGAATTCAACCAATTAAGCTGGTGTGTGGAAATCGGGCTTAGTTGCTCCACAGGTTGGAGCTTTATCAATTTCTCAACGGCCAAGTGATTTGGAACCGGCTCATGTCTGGCTTCAAGGCCAGGCTCCCTGTGGCATGGACGGCGTGGAATGTACTGGTAGGCAAGACCGTGTTTGGCATGGAACGGCTTTCAAGCAAAACACGCCATGGCATCAGAATCATGCAATCATGACATCCATTGACACCATCTCTTATCTCACGCATCTCCTTTGATTTTTGGCCGTGGACCGTGAGTCGCTAGAACCCATACGTTCATGGTAAGGTTGAGTTCAAGAGGAGACTTGGTAGCCTTTCCAGATTGCATCACTTTGCCGATGTTTGCTCATGTTTCCTCTCTTCATACTTCTGATATTTTGATGTAGTGGGTGATCTGGGAATCAAATTATATAAGGCCTGTGCCCGAACCTGAACATCCTCCTTGACGTTTCCTTGATTCTGATCCAATGGGCCGACAAAGAGGATTGGGGTCACCACTTCAGAGCGGACCCTTGACCCGGTTTGCCAGAATATTGCTTGTATTTTTGGATTAGTTTTGGTCTTCCGTTGGCTTGGGGTGGTTCAAGTTCAAGTGGGGAGGCGGTTGTATTTAAAATTGTGGGGCTCTATATTTTGGATCTTCATTTGGATTTGAGTTCAAGTGTGGTAGTGGGAGCACGGTGGCGAAGGAGTTCATGGGCCGCGGTTTCGTGGCCATGCGTTTGGCCAGACGACCTTCAATGTCTTTTCTGCCTGGTGAGGCCACTTTTCAGCCAAGCTGTATGATTTTTTTTGGTTGGTCTGGCTCTGTTCTGCTCAGACTTCATGACAGTGGTGCCACCTTGAAGCAATCTCCAGGCAACTCATGGGAGATGTTGCAGGGCGAGCCGCGTCGTATGGGGAGTTTTCTGCCATTGAAGCTTGACCTGTTTGTTGAATTTTGTAGTGTGTGAGTTCCTGGTTTTGGGGCCGTTTGGATCAATGGCTAGTCTTATGTCGGGCGCGCCAGCCATAGATACAAGGAGCCAACATAGTTTTATCAAGCAAAAAAAGCAAAAGGTAAAGCAACAAAATGTAGCTGTGCGTGTTTGTCGCTTTTTTTGACTTTTTTCACATTTATTTTATCATTTGTTTCGCTTGATTTTCACATTTTTCGCTTTTTCCCTAGGAGCGTACAGCAAATATTGCTGACGGGTAAAAGTTCTCGTAAGTGGAGAAGCGGTACCAGGAAAAAAGAAAAAGTGCAAAACACTTGCAAAAAACAGCTAATTTCGCTGCATTTTCATTTGCTTTTGTTTTGCTTTTTTCACATTTGTTCGCAAAAAGTATTTGATGGTTGGTCATGTGTGGCTGCCATTGCCCAACATAAGGCTAGTCGGCTAGTTAGCTTGTGAGTGGCGGGGGCTGGTGATTCTGAGGGGCTTTGTGAGAAAGTTTTGTTTTTGTCATTTTGGTCTTGGTCTGATGTGCCCCCATGGTTTTCAATCTTTGAACATTATCATCATCATCTGAGGCTCAGGAAACCATCATGGAGAGCAGGGACAAGGCCTCTTCAAATGTGGGGGTTGCAAGTGCTGTGATGGACCAGCCTCTCGGTCCAGTAATGGCTGCACGATTGAGAGCAACTTGGCCGGAGATTCAGGAACATTGCGAATCAAGCTTTTGCAGTTTGTGAGTTTGCCTTCATGAGGTCTTCCCTCACCTTTGATGTTGCAAGCGTGGTGTGATCTTTGCACCCCTGGGTTGGATGGATGAGCTCAATGGGGATGCAGAAAGGAAGACACCATCTTCATCTATCCAGAAGCGTCCGCTGCTGACTGTTTCCTAGACATCAGCGAGAAGCTGAAGGCCAAAGTGCCTAATTCGTGTATGCATGGCAAGATGCTGAATGCATGTTTGAACATGTTTTGAACTGTTGACCAAAGTGCCTGATCAAGGTGGCTGACGAAATGCTAGGGCGCAGGGGGCCAATCATTTTCGGGATGCATCTCTTTCAGCGCTGCTCTTCCGGATTTGCTCTTACTCTCACTGCACTCTCTCACTGCTTTGGCTGCTTGGTTTCAGGCCATACTTCCCCCTGCATTCTTTGCAACTTTGTGTGCTTTGAAGCCTATTGAAAATCGAGCTCTTCATTCCCAATAATCCTGGCCAGCTCCTGAAAGCTGCTGCGCTGTCTCTCTGGCACCTCCCAAGCGCAGCAGCTTCCCACTCCACATCCAGCAACCAACGCGTTGGCCGCGTTGGTGTCATTGTGAGAGTACACTTGAACTCTGGCAGCTTCCATCACTTCATGGGGGGTGGGCCTGGCAGGCAGCCCTCAAGTTTTGGCGTTTGGCATTGTTAGCCTTTCATGTAGCAGGGCTGGACCATCTGCATCTGCCGCCAATTCACTCTGAAGTTGGGGCGGTGCGCCAGGAAGTTTCCCACATCCATCAAACCTGCTGCTGCCCTGCTTTGTTCAACTCATCCGGCAATTCCAAATACTCACGCATCGGATCTTCCCAGGCTTCCCCATGGAGCTTTCCTGGGTGCTTCCATCATACGGTGGAGGACTTGCATTTCCAGAATCATAGTGGCCTTCGTATGGTGGCACCATGTCCTTGCCTGCAACATGTTCTGGTCCCCTTGACCAGGTTTGGACCAGAACCGTTTGGTGATCAAACACAATGATGTTGTAGGCCACACATGCCTCACACGAAGTCCAAATCACCACTCTGATGGGTGGGTAGATGTACCACACCTCTGGGTGTTTCTGGAACGCTCCACCAGTCACAATGCGACGGCATGCCCTTCAATAACAAGTACCTTTTTTCAAATAGACATCTTTTTTTAAATAGGTACTCGGGATTACTAAGCCATAACCGCTCGTATCCCGTACAGATGAGTAGACGTGGACATTGCCATGTTCGTTGTTGATATTCCACGGAACTAGTCAGGGAAGCAGTAGTATATAGCTGCAATCGGATTTAAACAACTCACCTGCCAGAAGCAAACATGTTGAGATTCTGTTCAGCGGCGACCTCTGTGCAAGTGCTTCCGGAGTCTGAGCAGGTCGAGTGCGCATGTTGCTCGGCCTGGGGCCAGGTTTTTGAGATCAAGACAGATTCCAAGTTTGACGTGACTACACGAGCTGGGTTTCTTCGCCTCCTTGAGATGGGGCTGAATAATCTTGGGCGACTGGTTTGATCTAATTTTTGGTGACATACTATATCCATTCGTATCCAAACACATATGGGGCCAATTCCTCTGACATCCTTTGCCTGCAAGTCAGGACATTGGATGGTGGTTTGATGTTCTTTGCACCACCATGCAGTCTGTTCGTGGGAATTTCAGTGGCGACACACAAACTAACATGTATAGTATCGTATAGTATTTTGTCTGTATGTGTCTTTCTTTCAAGGCGTTGAAAAGGTATGTGACTGGAAGCCAATTTCCAGCACAATTTTTGCTTTTTCGGCGATACTTCTCCATGCAAATTTCCAAGTATGTGGAGTCCAATAGTGGGTGGAGTGTTCTTCGGATTGAATGTCAGAAGTTGTACTACTACTACTACTAC